TTTTTGTTTTTTTTTTTTATATATATATATATATACACATATAGATACATAAGTTTTTTTTTGTTTGATACATAATTAATTATATATATATATATATATATAGATATATATATATATATATATTATATATATATATTTGGGGAAGCAAGCAAAACCAAATCCTGTCATTCAAACGCTTCCCGTTGCGAATAAGTAATCTGCATTCGAGGAATTCATCCCCATACGCAAATAGAAAACTATGAAGCATGGAATGCGTTAGCGGGTGCAAAATTCAATTTTCCAGTTAGAATGTTGAAAAACAAACAAACTTAACACATTTCTAGTGTCGACCGAATAATCAAAATAGAACAAAGAAAATAATCACATTTACAATGGCTGAACGAATGTAATAACAACATGGGGAGGAACACGGAATATGACAATGATTCAGATGTTGAAGAGAGGAGGAGGAATAACATGAAAAAAAAAGGATAATGAGGAGGATCGACATGGAGAACAGACATCACCATGAGGAAAAGCAGCAAAAGGAACGCCCACATAACGATTATGCTGTCCGGAACTCAAAGATCCAAATCAAAGGCCTGGCAAAAATATTCACATCCCAAAAAACACAACTCCTACGAAACGTGCGCACATATCGGACACGGTTTGGCATATGTAAGAATTTGTTTCGCGGGCGTGCTCGGTTTTCTCGCCGGCGCCGCTTCTTAGAAAATATAATTCGTTTGAATTGCTGTAGCGTTGCACCGTTGAAACCGAAACCTCTGACCATAAACTGAACCCTTGAATCTCGAAGCCGGATCCTTTTGATGAAACTGTTTTTCAAAACGAAAACGAATCCATTAAGTGAAACTAGTCCCATGACGCTGGACAAATGTGCTCCAAAGAAGGCACCCGAAAGATTTTCGCACACACGGAAGACACCGTAGGTCAAGAACAAAACTTTGGCGATATTTTTTCGAGATGGAACGTTGGAACTTACTGAACAAAGCAAACTTCGTGGATTATTGGCAGAACGCACACCGCACTTAGGAAACATTCGGAAACCATTTCAACAGAACGTTCCGAAATACGTCCCCTCCTGCCACACCTCCTTGCAATCCGAAGCTTTTCGTCACAAACAGGAGGGTGCAAAATAATATTTGGTGAATCCGGGAAAAATACTTGGAAACAGATTCCACGCTCTCTGAATTGCCGCATTCACAGCATCGTTATCAGGGTGCGAATGGCGCTGCCTTTGGCGTCCCAGCACCATGCCGATGAGTGATTTCCTGAGCCTGCAGCCCAAGAATATGCTTGCGAGTGGCGCGATCTCTGCGGCGTCGCCATCAAAGCCCATCCAACCATTACCGAATACGCAAAGTGTTTCCAATCGCCCGAGGCAGCCACAGATAGATGACCTAGCCTTTCTGGGTCTTTCCTTTTCGTTTGCCCATTCTGCATCGTCCTGCCGGATCAACGAGCTGCTTTACAACAACATTGTTCTTGCGCGCCCTTTTCATTCAGACGAAGATGCATCCAGCAACAAAACGGCACAGCTTGCCAGACGATAACTCACACGAAACCGAACGCTTAACTTGTTCCTGGTTGTGCGAGACGGCGACCTACATGACAACGCCACGCTCTGTTCCTCCCGAGCATTCGCGGACCATACGACACCGAATCTGCACATTGCAAACGAACAACTCTCCCTGTAGATCTGCCTCCACGTCTCGTTTTCCCTCGCCTCCTGCTGTGCGAATTTACGATATGTCATAATATTTCCAAGGATGCAGTTGCTTTCTGCGCCATTTCGGGGAAACGATACTCCGCATACGTGCACGATGCATTGTCTCAGTGCCAGGGCGTCATGCGCAAAAACAAATTCCACCAACCCTCCTGGACCAAGTAGTTAAAGGAACTCCTGTGCCCGAACTCACTATCCCCCTTCTTCCTACCGCCTCCCTTGGGACTCGACGGGGAGGGGGCGGCAAGTTTTGATTGCAAAAAACTTGAATCTTCTGTACTGCCTGACGTGCCACCGTAAGTGAGCTTTGAACATTCTGGGTCACCTTGGTTGGCAGCGGCAAGCCTAGCTGCGGCCCGAACAACAATGGGCCACATGCTTGGGAGACACTCAGTGGAGGTGGACACCATGCGAAATTACTCTCTGAGCTACCTTCCTTGATCCCACCCGCCAAGACCACCCGAGAACTCCCCGAGACCTTGAAGGAATCCCTTCGGAGCTTCCCGAAATTGGACACATCGTATTTTCTCATGGAATGCCCCAAGAAGCCCCCAAGAGCCCATCAAAAGAGCCCTTCAGAAGCACCCCGGGAGGCCCCCAAGAGGTCTCGGGTCCACGACCCCGGCAGGGTGGTTGGATGGACCTGATGAACATAACGACTCTGGGGACCTCTTGATTTAGTAACGACATTTCTACTTGACAATATTTTAGATACGCTCTCTTTTTCCCAACCATCCTGTGGTGTTGGGTCCTCGTTTCGAAGAGACGGTCCCCGCGATTCCTCCTTCCCTCCTTCCTTCCTTCCGTCCTTCCTTCCTCCTCCCCTCCTCGCTACACCGCCCGCATGCGTCACACACACACACACACACACACACACACACACACACACACACACACACACACACACACACACACACACACACACACACACACACACACACACACACACACACACACACACACACACACACACACACACACACACACACACACACACACACACACACACACACACACACACACACACACACACACACACACACACACACCACACCACACACACACACACACACACACACACACACACACACACACACACACACACACACACACACACACACACACACACACACACACACACACACACACACACACACACACACACACACACCACACACACACACACACACACACACACACACACACACACACACACACACACACACACACACACACACACACACACACACACACACACACACACACACACACACACACACACACACACGTTTCGGCACACCCCTCACACGTTTCGTGGCCCCATAAGGACCTCCACCGAAGGCCCCAATACCACCGCCCGCATGCGTCATGCACACCCATGTCGGCACACCACTCACACGTTTCGTGGCCTTATGGGGAGCTCCACCGAAGGCTGAAGTGCTACCGCCCGCATGCGCCACACACACACATATTTCGGCACACCCTCACACGTTTCGTGGCGCAACAAGGAACTCTAACGCAGGCCCCATTGCCACAGCCCACATGCGTCACGCACACCCATGTCGGCACACCCCTCACAATTTTCGTGGCCCCATGGGAGCTCCACCGAAGGCCCAAGTGCCACCGCCCGCATGCGTCACGCACACACATTTCGGCACACCCCTCACACGTTTCGTGGCCCCATAAGGACCTCCACCGAAGGCCCCAATACCACCGCCCGCATGCGTCATGCACACCCATGTCGGCACACCACTCGCAAGTTTAGTGGCCCCATAAGGAGCTCCACAGAATGCCCCAGTGCCACCGCCCCCATGCGTCACGCACGCCCATTTCGACACACCCCTCACACGTTTCGTGACGCCACAGGGAGCTCCATCGAAGGCCCCAATTCCACCGCCCGCATACGTCACGCACATCCATGTCGGCACACCCCCCACAGGTTTCGTGGCCCCACGTGGAGCTCAACCCAAGGCCCCAGTGCCACCGCCCGCATGCGTCACGCACACCCATTTTTTGCACACCACTCACACGTTTCGTGACCCCATAAGGACCACACACACACATATTTCGGCACACCCTCACACGTTTCGTGGCCCCACAGAGAGCTCCACCGAAGGTCCCAATGCCACCGCCTGCATGCGTCACGCACACCCATGTCGGCACACCCCTCACACGTTTCGTGGCCCCATAAGGACCTCCACCAGAGGCCCCACTGCCACAGCCCGCATGTGTCACGCACACCCGTTTCAGCACACCCCTCACACGTTTCGTGGCCCGGCAGGGAGCTCCACCGAAGGCCCCAGTGCCACCGCCCGCATGCGTCACGCACACACATTTTTGGCACACCCCTCACACGTTTCGTGACCCCATAGGGAGCTCCACAGAAGGTCCCAGTACCTCCGCTCGCATGCGTCACATCGGCATATCCCTCAGATGTTTCGTGGCCCCATAAGGAGCTCCACCGAGGGCTCCAGGGTCACCGCCCGAATGCGTCACGCACACTCATTTCGGCACCACGGGGAGCTCCACCGAAGGCCCCAGTGCCACCGCCCGCATGCGCCACACACACACATTTCGGCACACCCCTCACACGTTTCGTGGCACCATAAGGAGCCCCACAGTAGGCCCCAGTGCCACCGCCCGCATGCGTCACGCACACTCATTTCGGCACACCCCTCACACAGTTCGTGGCCCCACAAGAAGCTCCACCGAAAGCTCCATAGGGAGTTACACCGAAAGCGCCAGTGGCTGCGGTCGCATGCGCCCACCGTGCCAGTTTCGGCACGGTAGCTCCACCGACGGCCCCAATGGCTGCGTTCGCATGCACCGCACCTATTTCGGCACGCTTCTCACGCGTTTCGTGGTTCCATAGGGTGCTCCAGCTCCACCGACGGCCCCAGGGGCTGCTTTCGCATGCAACCACCGGACAAAGTTTGGCACACCCCTCACACGTTTCGTGGCCATATAAAAAGGGAGCCCCTCCGAATGCGGTGCGTACAACGACGGTACTCCCAACCGCATATGGTTGGTTGGGTCCTTCGCCAAGTTTTTTTTTTTTTTTTTTCTTTTTCTCCATCTCTCTCTCTTTCGTTCTCTTTCTCTTTGTCTCACATGATCTTGCTATCTAATTCCACGCCATGCCACAACTGCATAACGGAAGTGCAGCGGCCGTGCGCATGACAAACACCCGATCACGAAAGAAACTTACGACACATGTCCACCACTGGCAATGATCTGCTTTGTTGACTGGCTCTGGGCGAAGAAGCCACCCGGCTCACTTCTTGGCGAGACCGAATACCGCATAGTACGGCGTGCCAGAGCCTGTCGCGAACACCTGCGGGTCGCACGGAAAGACAATATCTTACTCGAGAGGATTGGAAATCAAGATGAGCTCGTGCCCTCTTGGACGCGACGAGCAGTTTTCGAAATCATTATCCTACACCAACATTGGACGATGCCCTTAGCGCTTCCTGACACATATCGATCTCTTCTCGAACCAATTATCATCCTCCCCCTCCCATATCTCCCGATGCAGCGCATCACATGGCGATTGCGCCATCCTATTGCTAGTACGCACTACGTCGCTGCATAGCCCTGGTAGCGCAGCATACATCTGATCGCGATGTTCCAATTCGTGCCGCAGGAGAGATTCCCACACTTGCCTCCTGCTGCGACTGCCTCCTCCTGCCCATCTGCTTGTGCTGATTTTCTCCCTGACATCACGCAGCTAGCCCTGTCCTCAGCCGCCTGCTCAGAAGGCTCGGAAGTCCCTCGGCCTTCCGAGAAGTTTCCGCGAAGCCTTCCCCGAAGACGCAAAAAAACCTCTCGAAGGGCGCGGGGGGGCTTCTGAAAAGTCACCCGCCGCCTTCTGAGGCCTGCACCTTCTCACTTCCCCCCTGGGCGCGCCGCTGAATTTTGAAGGGGCCCTGGGACACGCAAATAAATACACACAAATAAACATGTTCCCCTATATTTTCCAGTACTTTCTTGGTTTTTGTCTTCCCCCCCACTTCTCATATTTTCCCATATTTTCTGGGGAATCGACGGTTAACTGTGTCTGTGTTTTTTCCCCTCCTGAAATTTGTGGGTCTCAACTCGGGTCTCCGGCGGCCGTTCGATCTGGGCACCCCCCGTGAACGCCCTCGGCAAGGCTCGCTATGCTGTCAGGCACAACGAGGCAAGAAAATCGCCGAGAACCGACGAAAGCGTCCGAAGCTAGATGCATGCAGTTCCGCAATCCACTGCTCCATCCACGTCGCACTTCTGGCAAGTTGTAAGTCATTCATCAGTCACGACCGCAGGGCGGGGACTTCAAATATTTTCGAAAATTAGTAAGAGTTTTTGTTTGAGTTTTGTTTTTTAGCTTTTTGTCTGAATTTCTTCTCTTTTTAATGGATTTCTTAAATCATGCAAATTTTTAAAAATACCCTCCCTCGATTAGTATCTGAACCTCGAAGTTCGAACTTCCCCCCCTCGCTCGCAGCCGAAAGAAGAGGCGCACCATCAGCGACTGCCCGCGGCCGAGGTGGGCGCCAGCGACGCTGGACACCGGGTTGCTCAGCCACTCGAACTCCTCGGGGGGTCCCCCTCTCTCTGAAGAGGCCCTGGGATACACAAAGAAATCGTCACAAATAACAGTATTCCCGTTATTTTCCTGTATTTTCTGGGTTTCTGTCTTCCCCCCACTTCCCATGTTTTCCCATATTTTCTGGGGAATCGACGATTGATTGTGTCTGTGTGTTTCTTCCCCGGGCCCACTCGGGCCGCGAGCAAAAAATCACGGCGGGCGGTGCTTGGCGGCCGGGCTGCCCAAGGGAGAAGGCCTTCAGCCCAGGGCTGAACCTAAACGGTGTTTTTCGTTTTCGTTTTGTTTTCGTTTTCCCTCGCTGTTGTCCCCCTTTGCTGCAAAGCGAAGTCGAAACGAAAACGGCCCACGAAATCGCCAAAAACACCGTTTAGGTCCAGCCTTGCTCCAGCCTTCCAAGAAACTTTCTCAGGCTTTCGGGGGCGGCCCAGAGGGAGGCGCCCACGAGGGGAGGGCGCAAATCGTGGCCGTCGGCATGTGCGCGGCCCAGGGTGGGGCTGGGGACGTATTGAGATTCGCCGGCCCAACGGGCCAGAGGCGTGCTAAGATCTCCGGTAACAGGTTAACAAGAATTCTGGTTCGCGCGCGCGTGGCGGCCTCTGGGGACCCCCGGACGAAAAGTGCTCCGGCCGGTCCGACCCAGAGATGGTTTTTCCTTTTGGGCGCGGCTTTTAGACGCCCCAAAGCGCTCCTAGACTAGAGGGCTCCAAGAGTCCCCAAGACGGTCCAAGAGGGCCCCGAGTCGCCGACCGAGCAATCCAAGACGCCCAAGATAGCCTCAAGACGGCCGCAGACGCCGCGAAAAAGCCTGCATAAATCGCCGCATTCCCTTCAGAAAACGTATCTTTTTCGCGTGTGCGACGTTTCTCGTCTTTTCGGCTTCCCAACGCTCCAAGACGGCCCAAGAGGCCCCCAAGACCGCCCCAAGACGGCCCAAGATGCCTGCGGCGCCAAGACGGCCCAAGATGGTCCCAAGACAGCTCAAGAGGTGCCCAGGATGGCCCACGATGGCCCCAAAACGGCCCCAAGACGGGGACCAGGAACCAAAAGTCCAGCCTTCAGCCCCAAGAGGCCCCCAGGAGGCCCCAAGAGGTCCGTCCCCAAGAGGCATCCGAAGAAGGCCCAAGAGGCCCCGAAGAGGCCCCAAGAGGCCCCGAAGAGGTCTCAAAACTGCCTCCCAGAGGCCCCCAAGAGGACCCAACACGGCCCCCAAGCGGAGAGGCAATATGGGCCGGCGGAATGAGCGAAGCGATCAAATGAGAAGAGGCGCCATAACATCCATGGAAATATCATGGCCCCCGCTAGGATATCCCCCCCCCGCCCTGGTCATCACCCCCCTCTTGACCTCCCCCGAGGCTTCTCCGAGGGGCCGCAGAGGGGGCTTCTCATGAGGCCAGGGGGTCCGAGAAGCCCCGCCGCCTTCTGAGAAGGCCTCGCCACTCTCGCTTCCCGCCTCGGCTCGCCGCCGAGAGGGGGGAGCGATCACGGACCAGAGCAGAATCACAACACCGTCATCGGAGCGACCACGGCCAGCAAATTCGGCGCCCCAGCGGGGCCGATGGGCATGATAGAGAGGAGGGTGCCCAAGTCGAGGCAGCTGGAAAGGGATGTGAGGAGGCGGAGGACTCCAACATACTCCAGGTTGGCCTCGCGCGCTCCCCGAAGGGGGCACAAGGTGTATGTCGGGCCTGTCCCCCTACAGGGGGATTTTCGACGAAAATTAAAAATTATCCTGGCAAAGCAACCTAACAGCGATGTGTAGGAGCATATCTGGAAGCATTCCCCTTAAGATTCAGATGAGAATCCAGTTGTAGAATTCTGCTGTTCTCGCAGTCGTAGTCGCATTCGCGATGACAGTCGCAGTGGCAACGGCAGTCGCAGTCAGCCTCAGCCTCAGCCTGCCTCAGCCTCAGCCTCAGCCTGCCTCAGCCTCAGCCTGCCTCAGCCTCAGCCTCAGCCTGCTTCAGCCTCAGCATCAGTCTGCCTTCAGCCTCGGCCTCAGCCTCAGCCTGCCTCAGCCTCGCAGCTCAGCCAGCCTCAGCCTGCCTCAGCCTCAGCCAGCCTCAGCAGCCTCGGCCTCAGCCTCAGCCTGCCTCAGCCTCAGCCTCAGCCTCAGCCTCAGCCTGCCTCAGCCTCAGCCTGCCTCAGCCTCAGCCTCAGCCTGCCTCAGCCTCAGCCTCAGCCTGCTTCAGCCTCAGCCTCAGTCTGCCTTCAGCCTCGGCCTCAGCCTCAGCCTGCCTCAGCCTCAGCCTGCATCAGCCTCAGCCTCAGCCTCCTCAGCCTCAGCATCAGCCTCAGCCTCAGCCTCAGCCTCAGCCTGCCTTCAGCCTCAGCCTCAGCCTCAGCCTCAGCCTCAGCCTCAGCCTCAGCCTCAGCCTCATCAGCCTCAGCCTCAGCCTCAGCCTGCCTCAGCCTCAGCCTGCAGCCTCGCCTCAGCCTCAGCCTCAGCCTCAGCCTCATCAGCCTCAGCCTCAGCCTCAGCCTGCCTCAGCCTCAGCCTCAGCCTCAGCCTCAGCCAGCCTCAGCCTCAGCCTGCCTCAGCCTCAGCCTGCAGCCTCAGCCTCAGCCTGCTCAGCCTCAGGCCTCAGTCTGCCTTCAGCCTCGGCCTCAGCCTGCCTCAGCCTCAGCCTGCATCAGCCTCAGCCTCAGCCTGCCTCAGCCTCAGCCTCAGCCTGCCTCAGCCTCAGCCTCAGCCTCAGCCTGCTTCAGCCTCAGCCTCAGTCTGCCTTCAGCCTCGGCCTCAGCCTCAGCCTGCCTCAGCCTCAGCCTGCATCAGCCTCAGCCTCAGCCTCAGCCTGCCTCAGCATCAGCCTGCCTCAGCCTCAGCCTCAGCCTGCCTCAGCCTCAGCCTCAGCCTGTTTCAGCCTCAGCCTCAGTCTGCCTTCAGCCTCGGCCTCAGCCTCAGCCTGCCTCAGCCTCAGCCTGCCTCTTCCTTAGCATCAGCCTGCCTCAGCATTCAAAATCATGCCCAGGAATGGAGTTCTGGGAACTCGAAGAATACGAAGTGGCGTACAGTTGGCTCCGGGCATTCAAAATCATGCCTAGGAATGGAGTTCTGGGAACTCGAAGACCACACAGTTGGCTCCGGGCGGAATTCTGGGAACTCGAAGAACACGAAGTGGCCTACAGTTGGATCCAGGCATTCAAAATCATGCCCAGGAATGGAGTTCTGGGAACTCGAAGACCACGAAGTGCGTTACTGTTGGCTCCTAGCATTCAAAATCATGCCCAGGAATGGAGTTCTGGGAATTCGAAGACCACGAAGTGGCCTACAGTTGGCTCCGGGCATTCAAAATCATGCCCAGGAATGGAGTTCTGGGACCTCGAAGACCACGAAGTGTGTAACTATTTGCTTAAAACGACTTCCGCGGCTTCTCCCCGGCACCCGCCCAGACCCCCTCTGGGGAGTCAAGATGCTCTCTTTTGACACTACTAGAAACCTATCAGTCTTCGCTGTTAGGTAAGTACCCCAAAAATGCCCCGAACATGTCAACAAATACCTCACAAAAATAATCCCCAGAGTATTCTGGATTATTTTTGGACTATCTTTGGGGTATTTTTTATTTTTCGTCGAAAATCCCCCTGTAGGGGGACAGTCGAAAATCCCCCTGTAGGGGGACAGGCCCGACTTAACACAAGGCCCCGGGAAGGGAGGAGGAGGCGGAGGAGGACGATGGAGGAGGTGGAGAGTGGCGGCGGAGGAGGATTCCCCCTCACTGCCTCCCCCCCTGTCGTTGTGAAGGAGTATTGCCATAGCGGCGGTTAACTTTTCTCCCGTACTAATGTGCCGTTTTGTGCACGCAGTCTCTTGCTTGCTTGCTTGCGCCTCCCCCCCTCCCCCTCGCACCGCTCGGTGGCCTCCTCCTGCCTGCAGCCCCCCGTGCAGTCGTCTGAGCCGGGCGCTGGCAGAACTGGGTTTCGTGGGACCTGGCTTAGGGATGTTTCGGGGATGGACAACCCCCCCTTCAGTAAAACGTGGTTTAGTGAAAACGACCTCAGGCCCAAACCTGGCGGGCGCAAGCCTGGAAAATAACGGCCACGGCGCCCTCTCGAGAACCGAAAACGGACAATTCACTAATCGACGTGTCACTGTTGGGGGTTCTGTCCATCCCCGAATGTTCACTGGGGTACGCCCCCCCCGCCCCGTTCCACTGACCAGAAATGCCGGCACCCGAAGAAGCACCAGTTACGGCAAACCTGGTTTAGTGTTTCTGGTCCATTTAGGGGCTCCGGGGCCCCACTGCCAACTGGGTCCCTTCACCTGGGGTCCTGCCTATACCCGACTGAGTTCCGTCGCCCCAGCCTCGCTCTCGGCGCCCCGAGGTCCTCACAGCTGTGAATGCGCTTCTCGGAGACGGACCACGAGCACAGCGTCACCTGCGCCACACGTCTAGAAAGGGTGTAATGACGGCGCCACGAATCGGCGGCGAGCGAGGGGGGGGGAAACGAGAAGGAGAAGGCCTTCTCAAAGGCGGCGGGACTCCTCAAAAGTCCTCGCGCCTCCAGAGGAGTTGTTTCTGTCTTCAGGGAAGGGTTAGAAACTTCTCGGAAGGCCGGAGGACTTCCGAACATTCTGAGGACGCCATGTCCTTCTCACTTCCCCCCTCGCTCGCCGCCGAATGAGCACGGTGAGGAAGATTCAGAGAACCACGAGCATGGTGAGTAAGAGGTGGGATGGGAAGGAAGGGCGACCTGCTAATCTTGAAGCTGTCCCGAAATTCGATGTCATGTAGATCATGTAGACGGTCTCTTGTTGCTGAGCCAACTAGGAGGCGGTGGCACTCGAAACAATGAGTGAGCGCCCTGGTGTTCGAATTCTACGTGTCCTGACAGCCCCCCTGAATACGCGGTTGCGGCTCCAGCACAGCTGAGCATCGAGTTATCGTGTCTCAAGTAGTGGCTCAAATCTACGTAACTAGTCCTATTGAGCTGTCATGGACGTCTTGCTCAGCCTCGCTCATGTTAGGATATTGACATGGCTGGGCTCAACGCCGCGTAAGTATGGCTAGACACATGCTCTCAACATACTGAACTTTTAAGATGCTCCGATAATGCAGTAAGTCTAGACTCGAAGCGTGAGTAGCCTGACGTAAAACATACCTGACTCAGACGTCATGTGTTCATGACCCAACCTCCAAAATGTCTCGACGCCTTGCCTGGGACTGGTTTTCCTCGACGGTCTCGCTTCGATAGTCACGAGCCAGGAAACGGTCCCAGGACGCCGACCAAGGAAGCGAAAGCGCCTCGCGACGCCTGCAGGTCTGGAAAGAGGCAAACAACATTGAACATGGAACTCGTCACGTTTCAACCCTCTTTTGATGGCGACCGAGCGGCTTCCTCTTCCCTCTCCTCTCCCCCACCCAGATTTCCAACGACTCGGTTTCTTTCAAGTCGCCAGCCTCCGGAACTCTCGACTAGCGGGAGAGAAAGGGCATTCTCATTAACTGTCGACGGTCCGCGCGGATTTCTTCTTGGATCTGCGCTGGAACCCCAGCACTGGAAGCGCCGCCAGGGGGTTCCAGCACTGGTCCAAGAAATCTGTGCGGAGCCCCGGCAGTTCATATTCATGCCGTTGTCTCCTGGCGGCGCGCACAGAGGGGTATGTGGAGGGGGGGAGGCTCCCTAGAAGGAGGCTCTCAGAAGGCGCGGGCCCTACATCTGCAGACGAGGCCCGCGCCATCTGAGAAGCAAGGGTGCTTCTAAGAAGCCTTCCCCCTTCCCCTAAAGTCAACCCGTATCATAAGGATGCGTGGTAAGGATGCAAGGGCCTTGGAGGCCCATGTCAACGTTTTTTCGAACGAGGTTGGCCAGCGGAAGTGGCTAAGGATGGGCCGAGGAGGCAAGAATGCAAGGGTATCCTTGAGAAGGTTGCCCATCTTTACTATGCGGGTCGGCTGTTCCACCCCTGCGCGTGGCCGAACTTATACTTCGATCGACGGACCCTGGACTTAGGTCGGGCATGTCCTCCTACAGGTGGATTTTGGAAGAAAGCTGAGTAGTACAAAAGCAACACTCGCAAGAGTAGTAACAACAACATCGTCCGCTTTTTCCACTATTCTTGAACATCCTTCCTGTAGAGGGACATGCCCGACTTCACCCTGGACTTACGTCGGGCCTGTCCTCCTACAGGGGGATTCTGGAGGAAAAATACAACATACTCCAAACATGCTCCCAAATTGGCAAAAACAAATCAAAAAATAGTAACCTGACCATTTTTAAACTATTTTTGAATATTCCTCCTGTAGAGGGAGAGGCCCGACTTCCCCCTGGACCAGCCCGAACTTCAGACCTGTGGCGCGAGCCTGCCGAGGCGCCACGAGGCCTAGGCCTTCCCCCCTGCCACCCTGCGGGGCAACGCCCCCGGGGGGTTGCCCACTCGGGAGGAGAGACTCGGGAGCGGCCAAGAGGGGGGTGTCCAAGAGGGGGGGTGCAAATCATGACCGGCGGCATGTGCGCGGCCCAGCGGGGTGGCCAGGGACGTAATGAAATAAGAAGAGGCACCATGAAATCTGGGGAAATATCATGGCCCCCGCCATGATATCCCCCCCCCTAGTCATCACCCCCCTCTTTTCCGCCCCCGAGAGACCTTGAGCTGGAACCGGCAGTACAGTCGGACTTTCTTGGACAGGAGACGCGAGAGGACAAAAGACCCATTCCGAGAGCCACATCGCCATAGGAATGCAGGAGGCTCGGGTCGTGAGACACAGGACACAAAGGTACCCTTGATTTGGCAGGGTCGACCTACTAATCCGGGCCGACTGTAAGACGAAGGCAGAATCGAGACAGAATCGCACCGATGCAAATCGGAAATCTCTGATCATCGGCGGGTTTGGCGGATGTCTCGGGCGCGGCGGCCGTTCCAGAGCGTTCCGGAACGCTCTGAGAGCATTCTGGAACGCTCTGGAACGGATCTATCTCGATTCTAGGCTCGTCCGAAATACATCGCCGATAGATCGGCGATGGGCCCCCGATGGCGAAGCCGCACGGTCATGTGCGGGGTGGAGTTGTCGGGCCCCTAACGGCGATGGATGGGCAATCGAGGGTCGATGCATCCTCCACTGAGCTTATCCCCTTCTCACGTTGCCCCCCGGTCTTGGGGCCAAACCTCGGCTCTCTGGCGGCCACCCGGAACGCTCCCGGCGAGGTCTAGAGTCTGGCCGCCGGAAAGCATCCCGAGACTGGAACACCGCCGAGAGCCCACGAAAACGCCCGAGAACAACGAACCTCAAAGCTCGAGGACTGGGCGATGGGGGGCCGGTGCATCCTCCAGAACGGCCGCGGCCCCTCCCCAGCGGCCGCCGCCTTGCTGGAATTGCCGCTCCCGTAATACAGCAGCGCGTGCGGGTCCTGGGAAGACCAAATGGTACCGCTACCGCTACTCCCCTGGAAGCCACTGGAAGCCACGCCCCCTTGAAGGCCCTGAGAATCCCAAGAGGCCCTCACAGGCCCCCAAGAGAACTCCAGTATCAGGAGGAGGAGGAGGAGTAGGAGGAGGAGGAGGAGGAGGAGGAGGAAGAGGAGTCCAGGAGGAGGAGGAGGTCCTGGGTCCCAGGGTGCGCCCTCGACCAGGATTTCGAAGCGAAGCCAGCGGTGGCGACGAGGGCCTCCCCGGAGGCCCAAAGAGGGGGAAACGGGGGAAGCGTAGGGGCATGGGTGCCCTTTCCAACTCTGAGGTCCGAGGCCGAGTACGGCACCGACAGCATGGACACGTACGGCGAGAAGCCGTGGCGGATGACCACGGGGCTCTGGACCAGCCTCATGGCGTGCGACAGCGGGTCCACCTCGAGGAGCAGGATCGAGGTGAGGAGGGGGAGGAGGAGGAGGAGGAGGAGGAGGAGGAGGAGGAGGAGGAGGAGGAGGAGGAGGAGGGAGGGAGGAGGAGGAGGAGGGGGAGGAGGAGGAGGAGGGAGAGGAGAAGGGAGGAGGAGGAGGAGGAGGAGGAGGGAGGAGGAGGAGGAGGGAGGAGGAGGAGGAGGAGGAGGAGGGGAGGGAGGAGGAGGGGGGGGAAGGAGGAGGAGGAGGGGGGAGGAGGAGGAGGAGGAGGAGGAGGAGGAGGAGGAGGAGGAGGAGGAGGAGGAGGAGGAGGAGGAGGAGGAGGAGGAGGAGGAGGAGGAGGAGGAAGAGGACAACGAGGAGATGAAGGAGGATGAGGAACGACGAGGAGGAACAAAAGTGATAGCAGGATGAACAAGAGGAAGGAGATGAGGAGGAGGGGGAGGAGGAAGAGGAGGAGGAGGATGAGGAGGATGATACTAGTAGTAATGATAGTATTACGAAAAAGCTATTCGTACACATAAAAGTCAAGACGAATACTAACAATAAAAATAATAATAAGTGGTGGTGGTGAGGAGGATGAGGAGGAGGAGGACCAGGACGAGGAGGAGGAGGAGAAGGAGGAAGAGGAGCAGGAGCAGGAGCAGGAGCAGGAGGAGCACGAACAGGAAGAGGAAGAGGAGGAGGAGGAGGAGCAGGAGGAGGAGGCGGAGGAGGAGGAGGATGAGAAGGAGACGACGAGGGGGAGGCTCCCTCCCCGCACCTCCGGGAGGGGGGGGGGCAGCGGGGGGCGCGTGGACGGAACCCGGCGCTGGCGGAGAGAGCGCCCGCGGACGCCCCACACATTCTCAGGCGGTCCGTCCTACCGACGACCCAGAACCCGGCCTCACGCTTAGGTCGGGCACGTCCCCCTACAGGCGGATTGGACGAAAAATTAAGAATCTACAAGAAATGCCCAACACCATAATCAAGAAATGCAAGAAAAATCGTCCGCAGACTCTTTTGGGAGTACTTTTGAATCTTGCTCCTGTAGACGGACAAGCCCGACGTAACCTCACGCGGGAAGACATGAAGCGACCTCACGCCACGGCTCACGCGGGCCGCCAGCGTGGCACGCAGCGCGATACAAGCGGCGCGCATCCGCGCGAAGTGCTGCGGGAAGCTGGTGCGCGAATGCCCGCGCAATCGGCCCCGTTTCTTCCTTGAGCAAGGACCAACCGTCCCGGCATCCCTACGGGCCTACCGCGGCATGTTCTTGGAACCCATACATGTTCTAAGAACAAATCAATGTTCTTAGAACATAACCCCCATGCGTTAAAACAAGACAGTCTCAGCCAGAAATGTTATAAAAACACTTCGTGCAGACCACAATCGATTCTTAGAACATTCTTTGGTGGGTCTATAGGCGAGCCGAGACGCTTCGCCACTGCTTGACTTCCGCCACCGAATTGGCGTGGAACTAACGGATCCTAAAAGTCACGGGTCCTGGATCCTGGTTTTTGGACGCCCGAAGTGGGTACGGAAAGCATGGGCACAATGCCGAAAAGCAAAAATGGTCCAACACCGACGGCGGCCGCTGTTGGGCAGGCCGCCGTTCGAGTCACAGCGTCCGCGGCGGCGCAGCCAGCGAGTCTTGTTCAAAATGAGCAGAAACTGCTGTTGGGCATTGCACCTCTTCTTTCCGTACCCATGCCGGTCGTCCTGACCTGGGCCCCACGGCCTTCCCTCGGGACCGGCTCCTCGTCCCGAGCCGCTGTCGGGCCTCCCCACCGCCAGTGGAAGGCTCCATGTGGAGGCCAAGAGCGGCCGAAGACCGCAAGACCAGCGACTCCCTCGCGGACCCCTTCGTCTTTTCTCGCTGCGCGCCCGACGTGGGTACGGAGGCAGTGGGCACGATACCCAGCAGCAGACGTTGCCCCCCGACAGCGGCCGCTGTTGGGAAAGCGAGCTTGCGTCTCGAATGGACAACGCCCGCGGCCACACAGGCAACGAATCTGGTTCAAAATGGAGAGGAACCGCTGCTGGTCTTCGTCACCATTCTTTCGTGCCCAGTCCTATCGTACCCACTGTCTCCCCCAAGGACCCCGTCTCCCTTCTTTCAGAGGCGACGACAGGGACGAATAGCTCAGGGGAGAGCAATACATGTATTCAGGTGCGCCGATGACCTATGTCTTCCAAAAGGCTCCCGGGCGAATGCGTGTAATGTCCGCCCCTGGGCTATCCGCCCCTATCGCCGCCGCCGATACTTGGCGACGACTCAACATCCAGACACCGCACAGACATCTTTTGAGCAGGGACCGACCGTCCCGGCATTTCTATAGTCCTACCACGAAATGTCCTTAGAACCCAAAGCTGTTCTAAGAACAAAAACAATGTTCTTAGAACGTACACCCGATGCGTTAAAACAAGACAGTCCCTGACAGTCCCAGACAGAAACGTTCCAAGAACATCTCCTGGAGACCACAAAAACGGTTCTCAGAACACTGCTTGGCAGGGCTATATAGGCGAGCCAGGACGCCTCGCCACTGCTTGAATTTTCCCCCGGGAGCCAGGCAAAACCGCACGGGCGCCCCTCGAGAAAACACGCGACCACATGGGCGACCTCTGCGCCGGGGGGCGCTGGGCCCCTGCCCCGCTCCAGCCCCCCCCCCCTGCAGGGGGGCGGCGGGCTGGGCGCCCGGGGACGGGGCCCGCGCGCAGACGGAGAGGCATCACCCGGGGGCGTCGGGCGACTCCCCGAACGGTGCCTGGCCTGCAGCTGCGGACTACCCACCAAACCACCCCAACCCGACCCGAAGGCCCGAATTTCGGGTTCGGTTGGGGGGGGTACGGGTTCCGTGTGTGCTCTCTCGAGGTTCCCCGACCCCCCCCACTGGAAAGGGAGGTCAAGTTGAAGCCTTCGGGTTGGGTTGGGGTGGTTCGGTGAGTGGTGAGCTACGGGGGCCCGTGCTCGGCATCCTGTCCTTGCGGCCAAAACGCCACCACAGGGCACGGCGCAGCAAGAACGAAGGGGCCTTTTTTGTGTCCGCGGCGAACCTCGCCCACGAGTAGGCTCGCCGACCTACAGTTTCTAATACATAGAATTTTGAAACATATAAGATTTTAAATACGTGATGAATGTATGAATACATGTATGCATGAAACCATCGTTGTTGTTCATACTAAGTCCCTGCATTTGTAATCCATGATCCGCACGCGGAGCATGTATTAAAAACGGCCCTGTGGGTATCAGGAGCTGCCCGAAAGCCCAAGCCCCTCCGGAGTCCAGCGATGCCAAACCCAGCGTCCTGACCGCAAGAGATAGACCGCCCGCGGAAGCTTCGCTGGGGGGCAGCCGGTGGGCCCCTCGTGGGCGCCCCGCGTGCTGGCTGGGTCCGCCGAGGTCTGGCCTGGTAGCCGCCCGTGGCTGCCTCGTGGGCGCCCCGTGCGCCGGCAGGGCCCGCACAGATTTCGCCAGGCGGACGCCCGTGGGCGCCCATGTGGGGTGCGCTGCAGACTCCCTTTCCCGGACAGAAGGCTTGAATCTATTCCCTAGCCGAGGCCAGACTCATTGGCAACCCTCCGTGTTTGTTTTATGTGCGCATGGTGTACATATATATATATACATATAGGCATCTATATATATATATACATGCACATGTTGAGACCTTCCCTATATGAGTACACCTATTTTTAGCAAATCAAAAACGCACAATCGTTCAGTGTTCCACCAGATCGCTCATCGTAGACGTGAAGCGCTGCAATCCCAACCAATCCTGGTATCTATCTCCTGAAAATTGACATGTGGTGCGCATGCGTTAATCAAATACGTGCGTGTTGTACCGATCCTGTACGAACATCTACGATGCGTAGCACATGCGGGAACCGACACGCAGAATTGTCCAAACCATTCGAAAGCATGGTTCCCAACCGTTTCAAAACCAAGCTGTTCAAACACCGAGAAACACCGGACATCCTTGAAGCTCAAGGGTGTACCATGTCTACGCGCGCACTCCGTCCAGTCATAACATAGCCATTTGCTTTGAACCAATGTTTTAGATCAGAACATTCGGGCCAAATTCGGGAGCGGCCAAGAGGGGGGTGTCCAAGAGGGGGGGGTGCAAATCATGACCAGCGGCACGTGCGCGGCCCAGCGGGGGGGCCAGGGACGTAATGAAATAAGAAGAGGCGCCACGACATCTGGGAAGATATCATGACCTCCGCCATGATATCCACCCCCCCTAGCCATCACCCCCCTCTTTTCCGCCCCCGATTTTAGATCAGAACATTCGGGCCAGATGCGCGCGCACGCCGAAACCGTGCAACAACCATCGAGTACTCGCCAACCCTGCCGACCTGTACCATCCGGACCACAGGCGCGCGTCTCCGCGCGCGCACCCCGCAATCCTCCCAACACTGTGTTTCACGCACGTCTGACGCGCTTGTGCTGCTCAGACACATGCGACCACCGTCGTCGCGAGAATCGTCACTGTCAGCGCCGCTGTCGTCAGCCACGGGAGTGCTGCCAACAACTTGTGGGGGGCGATGTTTGCGCTATCAATGTCGGGAGCGGCCAAGAGGGGGGTGTCCAAGACGGGGGGGTGCAAATCATGACCGGCGGCATGTGCGCGGCCCAGTGGGGGTCCAGGAACGTAATGAAATAAAAAGAGGCGCCATGAAATCTGGGGAAACATCATGGCCCACGCCATGATATCCACCCCCCCTAGTCATCACCCCCCTCTTTTCCGCCCCCGACAATGGAGGTGGTCACGCGCGAATCCGGTCAACATTCATCGCACCACATAGCTCGCACCGCGTGTGTAGCCGCCACCGTGCCCCCCTGGCATGTCGAGGCGTGGTTGCACGCCAAGTCTGCTCTGGTAGGAGAGCGTATTTCTCTGCAGGCCTCCCCCCCTCTGTCGACGCATCCACCTGCATGCACCGCCGCCCCCTCTTCCATGCAGAGACATGGTGGGTCTGCGCTCCCGAAACCACCATCCATCGTAACAAGGCAATGGGCCGCCCTCCCAAGACCACGATCCATTACAAAAAACAATGGATCCGCGCTCCCAAGTCCATGATCCATCGTAGAACACTGTGGATCCGCGCTTCGCAGGCCGCGATCCATAAGACAATCAAATGGGTCCGCGCCCACGAGCTTCCAAGACGGCTGAGTCAGGCAACCAAGGCCGGCACATAGCCTAATACGTGTACAAGACGGCCCAAAAAGGCTCTGATACTGCCCAAGATGGCCTCCAAGCGGACCCCAAGCCGGCCCAAGAGGGCCACAAGAGGACCTCCAGTAGGGCTCGAAGAGGCCAGCATCATCGATTTCCTCAGGCGTTTGCTAAGATCTGGACGTCCTCACCTGTTTGAGATATTCGAGCGGCACCAGAGGCCTCCAAAATAACCCCTGGAGGCCTCCCACATCGCCCAATACTCCTCCACTACGGCCACAAGACATTCTAGGAGGGCAGCTTCAGACTGCCGAGGACGGCTCCGAACGAGAGCCCCATACTGGCTCAGGAGGGCCTCCAGATGGACCTAAGACGGCCCTGGAGGGCTCCTCGACAGCCCAAAAGTGACCCCAAGACGGCCGCAAGAGCCAAGATTAGGACAGGAAATGAACACGAGACGCGAACTCCCGACACGACGCGGACGAGCGTGACACATGCCGCGCGTTACGGCCTCCCGCGCCCCCTCGAGCAGTCGCCACCCGGAGTGCTGGGCTGGCAAAGGCGGACTTTCTGCAGGCAACTGGGTTCTCTGTTCGAAAGAACAGTAGGCTCTACCGCCCCCCGCGCCAAATAAATCCGGTACAACTTTTCGTATTGCAATTTACAAATGACTTATAGCCCTATCGTCCGTTTTGCATATGCATTCATACCGTCCCAACCAAGCCGGTATCGCCCCCTCACATCTGCCAGATTATATAACGTGCGCGCACCAGTAATGTTAAACGAACTTAGGTTCAACAACCCTGTGCAAGAAACTGCAGTACAATCCACAAGCGCGCGCACAGAAAAAAACAACAATACTGGACACACTCGTGTTCCAAACATTTCAACATAGATAAACGCAATACGAAACATAGGATGCACAATTGAAATTTGCAAATTCGCTGTAAGCGCGTGCTTGCTGACACCGTGGGGAAGGGAAGCCCCATGATTGAATTAATCTCGTCCAGAACCCGCATTCTCATCACACTACGCGGTGCCCCCGCGTTGATGTAGCATATTCCTATTGTACGGGTCCGCATTCAAACATAATGTGTGTCACGTGCAGGCGCCGCCACGCGCGCGTGCCGAATTCCGTCCAAAACCATTGGTTTGGAACGGTCCGAGATAGAGTTTTTCAAGAACATGCAGGCGACGAAAACAAACGAGTTTTACGCGAGATTGTATAGCGACCTTACGCCGCAGCTTACGCGGGCCGCCAGCGCGGCACGCTACATTGCAGACGAAGGCGCCTAAGCACGACGTTACGCGGGACGCTTACGCGCCAATGTCGGTCAAGACGACCCCGCTGTTCTGCGTCACTCATGGAGCGCAACTTTTATTCGCGGCCATCACAAGCGTCATGGGGGGGGAGGGGGGGACGGTAGGGGGCATAACGTAGCCCTGTGGTGCCAGACGCACTGCGGCAATGCCGGGACGCACCGATGGGGGGGAAGCGTTACGTTATGGTGAGGGGAGGGAGGGGCATAATGCGCATTATGGCCCAGAAAGTCAACAAAAACACTCTCATACCAAGAACCGTGTCCTTTACTCAGCAAACAAATCTTCGGCATGTCTTGAATTTCTGCGCGCGCACTTCCCCATCACCCTCCTCAACGCCATGGCATTCCGTTACCGTCATTGTCAATCACCGCCACTGCCACAATCATCATCATCATCATCATCATCATCATCATCATCATCATCATCATCATCATCATCATCATCATCATCATCATCACCATTATCATCACCCCTACCTTCATCACCGACACCTGGAAATCATCAACGTCATCGTCGTCACAAGCATCGGCGTCGTCATTGGCCCTGTCGTTGTCATCGTCATCATAATACCGCGCCCGCCCGACTCACCGACCTGCACTGAAGTACCTGCGCGCCAGCGCGGCCTTTGAGACGTGCTGGGCAATTCCCATTGGTAACCGCCATCGCCGCCGCATCAATTGCACCGAACCAACTTGTCGCTCTGCGCGCGAGCGTGCGCGTGCGAGCGTGCGCGGGCCAGGGCGGACGTAGAAGCGCGCTAGCAAACTCCAATCGGAAACCGCAACAGTGACCGAAGGGGTTTCCAAACAAGTTGCGGGTGGGAGAGTGGAAGGATTGCACGAGCATTGGAGTTGACGACTTCAAATTCTTAAAGGTGGAATGCACTACATATTTTGCACCGCATACATTGCACCACGTAGCTTCCAACACACAGACGGCAACACGTAGATTGTACTACAACTGTTACGCACCCGGTGCAATAACGTAATGTTTGGGGTCCACGCTGGCACACTTGTTTGTGTCACAATATTTGTTTCTTGGTTATCTGACCTCGGCCACGGCCATCCGAATCTGGCTCTCGTCGCCCTGCTGATAGGCGTACGCGAAGGTGTTGGGTGCGATCAGCGAGACCCCTCGCGCCCAAATCTGGCCCTCGTCGGGCACGATGCTCAGCGGGCTGGTGTCGAAGACGAGGTCGCTCCCGAAGGCAGGAGAAGAAAAAACCGCAGACGCATAAACGCTCGGAGGCCTGGGGCGGACTTCATGGACTGGCGCTGGACCGCCCTCCCTGGCGCGCGGAGCGCGCATCTGGCGCCGCCAATGGGGTCCAGCTTGGAAGCGGCTATGGGGGTCAGCGCTGGACGGGCTCCGAGAAAATCGGTCAAGAGGGGGGGGGAAAGCAAATCCGCTCAAACTCGGAGTCCAGACACCTCGTGGGGTGGCTAATGTTTCGAGCCGCGTTCAACCACTGCGACGACGGGCGCCCCTTTCTTTCCCCCTCTTTCTGCTGGCCGGAATCAAAGCTGGGCCACCTCAGCCCCCCAGCCGGATCCAAGTAGAGAGCAGAACTTCCACCCTCATACTAAGCACCCCGACAAGGGAAGCCGTTCAGTACACGCGCCTAAGGAAGGAATCGAACAGGGCAGGGCTGTTTCGTGAACGCTCACGGCCGTTCAGTAAACGCCAATGATCGGGGTCAGGGTGATTCTTCCCCCGCCCTGACCAAGGTCCAGCGCCGACCCAAGGAATCCGCGTGGACCTCCGATGATTTACATGCCAGTCGGAAGAAGTAAGTAAAAACACGAAGTAGGAAGGCGGCAAAAACAGATTGGGTTCAGGCCCTCCCAGAGAATCACAAAACGGGTAAAAGTATATCGGTTCTTGAAGTAGGAGGATTGGGATCTGGGAGTCCAGAAAGGCCTACGGCAAGCTCGTGTCGTGTCGACCCAGGCGTTGGTTCCTGACACCGCGGGGATCGTTCAACCTTGAACGACTGGCCGTTTCCACAACGCCCAATCGTGCAACGTCGACCCATTCTGGGCTGCCGCCAGCGTTCAATGTGGAACGCCGGCGGCGGGGCCGCCGCCGGTCGACACGACACGACTCCGCCCTACTTGCAACGACTGGCGTCTACAGTCGGACTCGATTGGACAGGACACGCGAGAGGACACAAGACCCTTCCGAGGGCCACGTTGCCACAGAAATGCGGGAGGCATGGATCGCAAGACACAGGACGCGAGGGTACCCTTGATCTGGCAGGGTCGACCTACCAATCCGGGCCGCCTGTATGTTGCGGGGGGGTGGTCATGGGGGTGGCCCACGTGGGGGGGGGAAGGGAAGTGCCCTAAAGGAGCCCTTTAGGGGCCCCCTTTAGGCACCAGCTCGCTCCCAAAGGGGCCCTGAAGGGCCCCGTTCGGAGCCCTTTCTTCACCTCCCATTTGGGTCACCCCCCATTGCCAGTAGGTCAGGCATGTCCTCTTACAGGCGGATTTTTGGAAGAACAATGAAAGATGGATGCTCAAAAACAGTCCAAACATCATCGAAAACTAGTCCCCAGAGTCTTTTTGGGGGAGTTGTTTGAATCTTCCTCCTGTGGAGGGACATGCCCGACTGGCCCGACTTCGCATTACCACCCTGGAGGCCTCCCAGATGGGGCGGAGCAGATGGGGTCGGAGGATCGCGCCGCGTCGCCGACACATCGCCGATGCATCGGCGACATCGCCGATGCATCGGCGACGCCAGCGTGGAGAACGTCGGGCTCCACATCGAGCCGCGTCGCCGATGTACCGACGATGCCACGCGACCCTCCGACCCCATCTACTCTTAAGTCGGGCCTGTCCCCCTACAGGGGGATTTTCGACGAGAAATAAAAAATTCCAGAAATAATCCAAAAATAATCCAAAAATAATCTGGGGACTATTTTTTAATATTTTTTGACCTTTTTGGGGTATTCTTGGGGTATGTTTAATTTTTCGTCGAAGATCCCCCTGTAGGGGGACACGCCCGACCTGAATCTACTCGGACCCCATCTGGGAGGCCTGGACACCCGCCCGGACGCTCATGCCGCCGTTTCTTCTCCAGGATGAGCTCCCCGTACACCGCGAGGGCCCCTCGCTCGCGGGGCTCCGCGCCGGCGGAGGCGTCGGCGTCTCTCGCGGCGGCGGCGCGGGCCCCCACGACGAAGGACGTCGGGGAGATCCTCGCCGCCTCGAGGCGGCACACCTCGAGCGGGGGCCGACCGTCCTGGCATTCCCAAGAGGCCTACCATTAGGTCGGGCGTGTCGTCCTAATCTTGGACGAAAAAGAAAGCATAGTCAAACAATAAGCAACACATGTTCAGACATGCTCAAGAAATCGTCCCCAGACTATTGGTTAACATCATTTTTAACTATTCCTCTTGTAGAGAGACTCAGAATCCAGAAGTTTTCCAAGGAGCACCAAATCTTGGAACATTGACCCGATGTAAGAAAAACAAGGCGGTCTCAACCAGAAATGTGCTACAGTGCGGGCGCGGCCGCAAGAAATCCTCATAAGAAGACCCAGCCCTGAAACCCTGCGCGAGAGGTGCACCTGAGGAAAAACCCAGAGCAACCTGAACGCAGCAGCTCCTTCAACGGCCGCGGGAAGCCACCGCGCAGCGCGCGGAGCGAAGAAGCCCAGGGCACCCTGACGAAAAGCAAACTCTGTTTCTTGAAGCGCGCCCCCCACTGTAGGAGCATCTCGTGCAAACCACAGAAGGTTCTCAGAACACTTCTTGTGGGCCTACATGGGACGCGCAGAGACATGCTAATACTATATGTCCTCTTTGGAGGCGCGCGTCCGACCCGAACAGAGAGTATACCCATCTTGTAGTATTATCGTTTCGCAAGCGGTGCGGCCGGAAAGCGCCTGCCACGACGCATATACCATAAGATTTCTCGGTGCGCGCGTCGCCCCTGGGGGGGGGGGCACTTACAGTATAATTATGTTGGGGCGACGCCGACTATAGTCGGGTCGGGCGAAAAGGGGGGATAGCCAAGGTGGGGGGATCAGAATCAGCTCACGTAGCTGATTTTCCCGGCGCCTCCCGGCGCTGGAGGCGGCCATGTATCGAGGAATGGGCCCCTCGGTGGGGCTGAAACCAGCTGCATGCAGCAGATTTCGTAACCCCCCCTGTCCCTATCCCCCCCTTTCGTTCGGCCCGAGCTTCGCCACAGCCCGAACACACCGGGAAGTTGGCGAAGCGGTAGGTGCCCAGGACCTGCACGTCGCCTGCTGGGCCGACCTCCGCCAGGAGCGCGCTCCCGAAGGACTCCGCGTGGCTGAAGCGGGTGGCGGCGACCTTGTCGGAGTAGAGGAGGGCAACCTTGAAGGGGCCCCGGGACATACACACACACATAAACACACACAAATAACAGGATTCTCAATGTTTTCTTACATTTTGGGGGTTTTTGTCTTCCACCCCACTTCCCATATGTTCCTCATATTTTCTGGGGGATCAACGATGAATTGTGCCTGTTTTTTTGTTCCCTCCTGAAGCCTTTCTGGAGCGGGAAGGCTTCGGGCTGCGCACAGACGTCGCTCCCAGGTACGGCCGGACCTGGGACAGAACACACATCCTTCAAGAACACGAGACCCTCCGCCGGCCAAGCCGGAGAACATTCGAGGTGCACCGTCCCACAGGATGCACAACAACACCCAACAAGTACGACTAGCATTACGATACCCTCCCGCACCGACCTCGATCTTGTACCTCGGTCCGGCCGCAGTCCCGGCTGGCGCCGCCTCAGGCGGCGCCCCTGGAGCGCTCCGCGCCCCAGTGTTGAGATGTCGAAATCGCTCCAAACTGCTCGGGGGCCCTGCTGAGACCAGCTGGGACCACCCCGGGGTGTTGTCAGCGCGCAGCCCGCGATCTCATTATTCTGGAGGTCCTGGTTGAAACGAGTCCGGGGCCCTGGGCTTTCCCCACAAGAAGCTTTTCATACCGAGTCGCTCTGTGACGGTCCTGGGGCCTGGGAATGAGGGGCAATGATAGGGGTGGTTGTCTCAGGGGGGAAACCATCGTCTTGGAATCGACGCGGTACATCGCCGCTGGGCTCTCGATGGCGAATCCGCACTTTCTTGAGCAAGGTGGGCCATCAGGCCCCCGTCGGCGAGCAGTGGGCGATCGGAGAGTGGTGCCTCCCCTCCGCTGAGCCCGTTCCCCCCGCACGCTGCCCCCGAGGGGGAGGGCCCCAGAAGCCCGAGGCTCCTATAATCCAGCGCCCAGGCTCTTCCGGGGCCGTGCTCGGCGACAGCAGCACCGAAAGCCAACCGAGCCGACCGCGAGCACGACACCGACCGAACTCGGCAGGCCGCAAGCAGCCCGGAAGGGCGCAGCGGCGCGGCAAATGCACCGTCGCCGACCGAACTGGACCGACCAAACGCCACCAACTGCGACGCAACCGCACCGGCCGAACCGCGAGCATCCGTGCTCCTGGTGTGCCGAGGAGGAGGAGGAGGAGGAGGAGGAGGAGGAGGAGGAGGACAAGTGTAAACCCAAGAGGCATCCACGATGTTGGAATAAACCCTCTCTTCACAGGCTCCATGCAAAGGTCCATTTGCACTGAGGGAACTGCCTCGTTGGAAGACAGCCGTTTGAAGACCCCCAAACGTGCGGATTCCAACGCCACGGATCAACCTGACTGTTGCGCCTTGACGATCACGAATCGTGCCAGATCGTGATTCCTGTGACTTCAACACCACGAATCACGGTAACTGTTAAACCCTCGTAATCCTGAATCCTTCCAAACACCGTTTCTGGTACGCTGGTCATGGAAATCCGTGAAACTCTTGCATCTTTCAGAACGAATGTGCGCGGCGCTAAAACGAGAACCACACTTTGAAAAAGAACCGGCCTCAATCCGTGCGAGAACCACATTTCGAAAACTATTCGCCCTCAATTTGTGAAACTTTTGCAATGTTTGTAAAATGGATGTGTGCGGCGCTCAGGCGAGAGTCACATTTTGAAAACGACCCGCCCTCCATCTGTGAAGCTGTTTCCACTTTTAAAGATTCAGGGTCATACATGGTGAGGAAGTCTCAAGCGAATCGCCCGGCCCGCCCTAAAAACTGGCCTCGGGATGCGACAGGGAGAAGTTATGTATAAGGAATGCACGAGGAGGAGGAGGAGGAGGAGGAGGAGGAGGAGGAGGAGGAGGAGGAGGAGGAGGAGGAGGAGGAGGAGGGAGGAGGAGGAGAGAAGGAGGAGGAGGAGGAGGAAGAGGAGGAGGAGGAGGAGGAGGAAGAGGAGGAGGGAGAGGAGGAGGAGGAGGAGGAGGAGGAGGAGGAGGCGGAGGATGAGTGCCGAGGCCTTGCCGCCCGAGACGTGCAGCGCCGCCATCTTGTGCGCCTGGCCCCCGCAGAAGTCCGTGGCCGCGCCCCACCTCAGCGCAAAGCCCCCCGGCAGGCCCTCGGCGCCCAAGGCCGCGCCCCGCATCCAGCACGTAGCCATCCTCGGACGGAGATAAAAGGAAAAACAGAAGAAAAAACAGAAAGACGCGATAAACAGAAAGAACAAAAAAAGACAACTTCAGGAGACAGCGATAAACATAAACGCCAGCAGGAGAACTTCCGAAGAAACACAGACGCGACAAACAGAAACTTTTGGCACCCCGCGCGGATGTCGCGGATCCGCGCTGGCCCCCCCCCCCCCCGGCGGCGCCTCCGGCGCCGCCCCTGGCGCGCTCAGCGCGCCAGGAAGGGGGGTCCAGCGCAGATCCAAGAGCTCCGCGCGGAGAGGCCAAACGTTTATGTTCATGGCGCTTTTCTTCTTCGAAACCTGTCACCGCTCGGACGCCTGTGCACCTTTCGATCCCGTGCGATCGATTCTCTTTCCTCGCAAGGAGTCTCCGAGAGGCGCCTCGAGGGCCCTCGATGAGAAGCGTGCGCACGCCCGAGCGGTGCCGAGAGACGCGGCAGAAACCGAAACTTTCGGGGATCCGCGCAGATCTTGTGGATCCGCGCCGATGGATTTTTGGTGTGGGAACGTCACGCTGTCCATAGCAAAACCATCGAAGCCCAAGAGAGAAAGGGCACCCTTTTGGACGCCCGAAATGGGTACGGAAAGAATGGGTACAATGCCCAACAGCAAATGGTGTCCCAAACCAACAGCGGCCGCTGTTGGGCGGGCGACCTTCTGTCGCGAATGGGAACAGGCCGCGGCGGCGCGGACAGCGAGTCCTGTTCAAAATGAACAAGAACTGCTGTTGGACATTGTACCCATTCTTTCCGTACCCATTTCGGGCGTGCCGAACCCTGGAGGCAAGCAGAGTGTTTCTTGGCATGGGCCTCCACTGTACGGCAGACTCGTGCCGTGACGACCCCAGCGTTGGCTTGTTACACCGCGCGGATCTTTCAATCTTCGGCGGCTCATTGGCCGATTCTGTGCCACCAGCGGCGCTCAACCTTGAACGCCCGCAGCGGGGTCGCAACTGCGTCGGCACGACGCGAATCCACAGTATGCCGATTCTCGGGGATGGACAGAACCCCCCTTAGCACAACGAGGTGTAGTGAAAACGACCTCGTGCCCAAACCTGGCGGGCGCAAGCCTGGAAAATGATGGCCGCGGCGCCCTCTCGAGAACCGAAAACGGACAATTCACTCATCGACGTGTCAGGGTGGGGGTTCTGTCCACCCCCGAGATTTTTCTGTAAGACCAGAAGACGCCATGAAAAATAAACTCTCGGATGTCCGCGCGGATTTATCGGGTCGGCGCTGGATCGCCCCCTTCCTGCTGACGCGCGGAGCGTGCCAGGGGCAGGTCGGGCATGTCCTCCTGCAGGCGGATGTTAGACGAAAAATAGAACATACTCCAAACGTGCTCCAGACGAGTTAAACTTTAAGAGAAACATCGTCTCCAGACTATTTTTTGTGTCAATTGTTGGACATTCCCCCTGTAGAGGGACATGCCAGACTTGATGCCAGGGGCGGCGCCTCCAGCGCCGCCCAGGGGGGGCCTGGCGCCGAGCCAAAAAACCCGCTCAGACAAAGGTACCGATATCGCTACTCCCCGAACTTTCTGTTGCTCCCATCGTACTTCAAGGCCACATCCCAGAAATAATCTCGAGCACCCAGAAAAAAAACATCGACACACTGTCAAACGGGTATCGCCTCCCTGGGCCCGACACGTGAAGACCCTCCAGTTTCGGTGCTTTCTCGGTGCTCAAACTTTTTCTTGTGATCAAAGCTAAAGTACGTTGGAACATCATCACCCGAGCTTCTCCCAGGGTGCGTGCTGACCAGAACTTCGACGAGAATCCAGCCCTTCAGCGGCGCGGCATCGATGCCTCCGGTGAGGGCCTCCGACAAAAATCCCCCACGGGGCTTCGGAAACTTCTGTGGCTGGTTTTTCCCCAATCAGTGCTTGCACTGAAGGGGTCCTAGCGGAAGTTGGAGGATTTAGCGAAAGTTCCCGCCGATTTTGGTAGCAAACTGGGTTCCCGGGTTCCTGGCTCCGGGTTCCAAGGTTCCCTGTTATTGGCTCCGGGCCGATTTCGGTGGGTTCTGGGTTCCCGGGCGCCCGGGTTTCCAGTCGATCTCCCCAGCGAGAACCATCCACTGATTGGGGCTTTTCTCTGGCGTACTGTTCTTCCCCGAACCCAGCTTCTCTTCCGGCTCCTGTTCTCGTCGCGCCAGGCGATCAGGATGCGCCCGTCCTCCGTGCCGGCGACCACGGGGCCGAACGCCCGGCCCGCGGGCGAGGTGAACTGGACGGGAGCCGACACGTCGACGGTGCCGGAGTTGTGGACCTCGGGTTAAATCGGGCGTGTCCCCCCACAGGGGGATTTTCGACGAAAATTAAAAAATACTCAAAACATACTCCCAAATGAAACGGAAACAAAAATAGTCCCCTGACTATTTTTTGACTATTTTTGAATATCCCCCCTGTAGAGGGACAGACCCGACTTAGATCTCGGGGGGAGGAGGCACACGTCGGGGCGGCGGGGGCCGAGCGAGCGCCTCGGAGCGGGACGGGCGTGGTAGCACGTGGGCTCCTGCAGTCGGGGCGTTGACCGAAGGAACCCTAAGACAAGGAATGAGGCCCCTTCTTCCCCTCAGTTAAACTTCGCTTTCCCATGGGGAACCTCAGGAAGCACCCGAGGCAAGCTGTAAAGCAATCAAGGAGCACCGAGCCCCTCCCCAACGAAAAGGGTTCCTGCTTCAGCGCCCCGACCGTAACGCCCCAGGCCTGGGCGAGTGGGAAGACGCGTGGGCTCCCCAACCGCCCCGGGGCACGCGTGGAAGCACGGGCGAACGCGCGTGGGGCTCCTCACGCCCCAGAGCGGGGCAAGGGTGGAAGCACGCGGGTTTTCCCAACGTCCCCGGCAGTACTCCATCCCTGGGTGCGTGGCTGTTGCGGGATTCCGCGGTGCGGATTGCCCTCGGATTTCCATTTCTGAAGAATCATGGTTGATGCCCCCCCTCCACGGTGCCAATGGTGTTTTCCAATCGACGTGTTGGAAACGCCCAGTGCCATGGCAACGCTTGCAAGGTGCTGGATGCGAAATAGTTTCACGAAGGGGACATCTTAGTTGCTGCCCAAGGTTCTTTTTATTCCCCCCAAGCAGTTTGTCTGTAATGGTTCCCTGTGCATTTCTTCCGAAGAACTAATAAGTGCACTGCTGGATCTGGAATCGGAGGGCTACATTGTCTCCCAGAGTCTCCCGTTGTCTCCTATTGTCTATCCCTATTCCTATCCTCGTCCGTATCCGTATCTCGATTCCTATCCAGATCTCCATCCCCATCTTTATGCCTATCCCTGCCCTTATATTTATATACATATATATATATATATATATATATATATATGTATAGATTTGCTTCTACCCCTCTTTATTTTATCCATATCCCGACACTATAGGCATCCCTGTAAACATCCCCGTTCCGATCCTTGGCCCAATATCACTACATCCCCAAATCCCTAGCCCTATATCCCTATCCCTACCGTTATCCCGACTCCTCCAGCGTGGCCCCCTCCATTGTGACCCCCCATCGTGGCCCATCGTAACTGCGTAAAGCTGTTCGAGGCCCTCTGCTGTAATTGTGGGTGTCATGGTGAGTCTCTCTCCTGGAGACCTTGCCGACGATGACCCGCCCAGTGTCCTCCTGGGATAGGTCGCGGAACACCACGGCTATCCTGTCCCCCTGGAACACGGCCAGCTCGAGGTCCCCCACACGCGTGGTCCCCCCGGCGTGATCCTGCCGCAGCAGCGCGCGCGGCAAGAACCCCGGCGGCGCCCTGCAGCTGCGCTCCCGGCCCAGGCCGACGTAGCCCTCGCTGCAGACGCTCGAGGCAGAAAACGCGGCGTGGACGCGCCGACTTTCGGAGCTCCGCGCGGACTTCTTGGCCGGGAGTTGCTCTAGAAGTGCCGCTGGCCCAAGGTGCCCCCAGGATTTGCAAGGAGGCCCCCGCGGCCTCCAGAACAACCCTCACGGGGCCCAGAGGGCCCCAGGGACTCCAAGATGGAGCGCAAAGCTGGGAGCACCTCGAGCCAGGGGCACTTCTAGCAGCACCCGACTTGGGTCGGCGCTGAACAATTCTGAGGAGGACCGATAGCGGGGGTCTGGCTCAGGGGGGGGGGGGGAGCGACCTGGAATCGGCGATACATCGCCGATAGATCGGCGATAGGCACCAGAAGGCGAATCAGCACTCACCAGGGCGGGGCGGGCTTATGGGCCCCCATGGGCGATGAGTGAGCGAGCGGGGGCATATACATCCGACCATGAGCGCTCCCCCTGTAACGTTGCCCCTGACCCCCCAGCGCGCCAGGCCAGCGCCGATCCGAGAAAGTTTATGCTCGTGCCGTGTTTCTCTCTCTCGAGATGCACTCGGCCCCCGCCAGGGTCACCGCGCACGAAGCGTGGGGTCCGCAGCTCACGCCCAGGCACCGCTCGCCCACGACCGAAGCGGTCCTCAGCAGGCCGCCCAGCGAGCCCGTGAGGTCCACCACGTTCTAGTTGGCGGGCCTGTTCTCCACCGCCACCGCCACAACTAGGAGGAGGAGGGGGTCCTCCTCCTCTTCCTCCTCCTTCACCCCTCCAACCTATGGTGGTGGTGGTGGTGGTGGACAACACGCCCATCACTCGTAGACCGCACGCGTCTCCGCCGCCGACTGGCGGGCACTTGCCGCGCTCTGCTCCAGCGCAGCCTTCACGCCCGGGTCCTGCGCCAGCTGCCCGGCCGCCCGCAGCCGCTCCTGAGGCGGAGACAGCGGGGGGGGGGGTGGCCGGGGGGGGGGGGGGGGACGGGCTCCAGCATCGACCTCTGGAATCGGCGGCACATCGCAGGTGCCGAGGCGGGGTGGGCTGTCCAGCCCCCTTAGAAAAAAAGGAGGGCCATGACCAAGATGGAGCGCGGAAGCGTCGGTCTCGCTCTTGGCCACCGTCCTTCTTGGCCACCGTCGAATCGTGGATCGTCCCCGCGAGATCGGCGACGGCTGGCACGGACCATACTCCCAGGACCTCTCCCAAGGTGCCTTCTGATCAGCATTTCGGGGCGAATCCAGCCGTGACGAGGAGGGCCTCCAAATTGGGAGGCACAAGAAGGCGAACACGATGCAAGGGCAACGGTATCGGCAATAATTCTTCTTCCTCTGAGCATGAACTTCTGGAGGTCCGCGCAAATTTCTTGGATCTGCGCTGCGCCGCCAGGGGGCCCCGGCGCCGGCCCCAGGAGTTCGCACGGAACTCCCGAAATCTATGCTTGGGCGCGTGTTCCGTCTCCAGCCGTGAGCGGCACCGTTACATTTAAGTCGGGCATGCCCCTCTACAGGAGGAATACTTAAAAATAGCAATAGATAGTCTGGGGACCCTATAGGGCCACGAAACATGCGAGGGGTGTGCCGAAATGGGTGTGCGGGACGCATCTGGGCACACCCACTGGGGCCTTCGGTGGAGCTCCCTACGGGGCCACGAAACGTGCAAGGGGTGTGCCGAAATGGGTGTGCGGGACGCATGCGGGCACACCCGCTCGGACCTTCGGTGGAGCTCCCTATGGGGCCGCGAAGCGTGTGAGGGGTGTCCGGGCGAAAGGAGGGGATAGCAAAGGGGGGGTTTTAGAATCAGCTCACGCAGCTGATTTTCCCGACCCCTCCCGGCGCCCGAGGCGGCTATGTATCGAGGAGTGGACCCGGCGGCGTGGCCGAAACCAGCTGCGTGCAGCAGGTTTCGTAAGCCCCCCTTTCCCAGTCCCCCCCTTTCTTCTGGCCCGACTGACGCCCATCACACGTTATTCCTAGTTTAGTTGGAAGGAGGAGGAGGAGGAGGAGGAGGAGGAGGAGGAGGAGGAGGAGGAGGAGGGAGAGGAGGAAGGGAGGAGGGGGAGGACGAGGAAGAAGGGAGGAGGGGAAGGAGGAGATGGAGGAGGAGGAGGGGAGAGGAGGAGGAGGAGGAGGAGGAGGAGGAGGAGGAGGATGAGAAGGAGGAGGAGGAGGTGGAGCAGCTCCTCCTCCGCGGCGCTGCGCTCCGTGGCCCGCGCCTCGCCGCCCAGCGCGAAGGCCCGGAAGCCTCCGAGCACCCCCAGGAGGTCGGCCACGGACGAGGCCGCGCCCTCCTCGGGCTGGCCGGCCCTCGCAGGGAGCGGCGCGCGGCGGAGTTTTCTAAGGAAAAAGCAAACCTACCTCGCTTTTGACCATCCTCGCTTCCAAGAGATACCAAACGATGCCAAATTGCAGCCTGTACTGGTCAGGCCGCTTGACGAGGAGGCGCGTGGTATGGCTTGGTTTTGCCTAGAAGCGAAAGCGGGGTAGGTAATTCACGCTCTGATTTTCGGGAGGTCGACCCCCCCCCCAAAAAAGTCTCGACCCAATCACGGGATCCACAGCGTTTCGTCCCGGGGCGTCTTTTGACGGCCCCGCGAGGCCCGGCGAGGGCCCCCGGAGGCCGAGAATGGCGAAAAAACTTCCGCCGTGATTTTTTCATGACTCGACGGGGTCTGGGGAGGTAAGAAGCGCCGATTTGGACGCCCGACGTGGGTACGGACAACATGTGTACACTGCCCAACATCAAATGCTTCCCAAAACCGACAGCGGCCACCGTTTGGCAGGCGGCTGCTTGACTTCAGAGCGCATCGTCCGCGGCGGCGCGGACCCCGAGTCCTGCTAACAATGAGCAGGAACTGCTGCTGTTCGGCATCGCGCCCACTCTTTCCGTGAGCACTTCGATCCTCCCGAGAGCACGCCGAGGAGACGCGAGGGCCCCGGGGCGGCCTTCCAGGGGCCCCGAGATCCTGGCGCTGCTGGCGCTGAGTGGTTGCCACACCGGGCGCCTTCGACCCGATTCGGGCTCCGGGGCCATCACCGATCGATGCCGCTCGCAGACTGCTGCAGGCGGATGGGCTCTACGCTCCAGTGCAGATTTCTTTGCGCGACAGCTGCATACCTTCGCAGCGTCGGCTCTCGAGGGAGGCACGGGAGCCTCCCAGAAGGCCTCCCGCAGCTGTGGGGGGCAGCGATAGGGGAAGAGCAACTCCAGGGGGGGGAAACAACTACCTGAAATCCGACAGGTCGACGACAGGCCCTCGATAGCAAAACCGTACGCTCACGGGCCCCCATCGACGATCGATGGGTGATGCGGGGTCGATGCACCCGTGATGCTCGTCGTCTTGTTTTCGGGTCACAGCTCGGCTCTCTGGCGGCCGTTCGGGGCGATCTGGGCACCCCTCGGAACGCTCCCAGCGAGGCGCAGCTGCCGGAGAGCATCCCGAGGCTGGAACACCGCAGAGCACCGATGCAAGCTTCCGAAGGCCTCGAACGTCGAGCGGTACCCCCTGAGCCTCCCCTCTCTAACGTTGCCCCTGGAGCTCCGAGGAGGCCTGGTGCCCTCTGTGAAGAGGGCCTCCTCCCTCCCCCCACCCCACCTCGCGCGGCCTTCGGCGACACCCCACTCCAAACGGGCCCCCATGGACCTTTCGCGGGGTCCCCCTGGCCAATTTCTCGAGCTGCGTCCGGCCGTGGTGACCAGAAGGGTGCCCCTGGAGGCCCCTCCCACCTCCCACACTGAAGGGACCCTGGGACACACAAATAAATACACACAAATAAAAAGATTCCCCATAGTTTCCCATATTTTCTTGGTTTTTGTCTTCCCCACCACTTCCCATATTTTCCCATATTTTCTGGGGAGTCGACGATCAATTGTGTCTGTGTGTTTTTTGCCACCTCCCACATGGCCTACAGTCGGGCTTGCTTGGAGAGGACACGCGAGAGGACACCAGATCCTGCCGAGGGCCGCGCTGCCCCAGGACTGCGGAGAACGAGGGGTGCCATCTGCAGGACACAGCGGCACCCTTACCTTGACAGGATCGACCTGCAAAATTAATCAACCTCGACTGTACGTCATGCCTGTCTGAACGCAGTTCTCTCTGTCTTATTTTCCACGTTGGCGCGAAGCGTTCTCCAGTGCACCCGGTCACCGGGACTGCGTGTCCCATACGCCTGCCCTCTGAGAGGACCGCCCCATACACCTTAGGCGATGCTTAAGAAAACGTAAGTTTTCGGCCAGAGTCTCGATTATTCTTACTGTTTCAATGTAAATCCTAAGAATTTGGTAGGAACTTGGAGTTTTTACTCCAATTCTGAGACTATGAATTTCTTAACCCATGATTTCTTAAGCATTTCGCAGGGTGTAGGGGCTGGAATGTGGGTCGCATCGCATCGCATCGCATCGACTGTGCGTCTCCAGGATCACCCCTTTCCGGACGGAGGAGGGGGGAGCAGCGGCAGCCGGCAGCAGGACCTCGACCCTCCTCCCTGCCTTCACGCGAGGAGCGACCCTGGACAGGGGTGATCTTTGGTGCGCGGCCTCGGGGGAGACGTGCGGGGAGGCCAACTCCAAGCAAGCGCGCGAGCCAGTGCTGGAGGGTGGCAAGGCTTCGGGCTGCGCGCAGACAACCCCCTCGGGTATCCACGATCCGGAAGGGCCGATCTACGGATCGAATTCAACCGTGAGGCGTTCGACGCGCGAATCGAATTCAACTAGGTCCCACCCCAGAAACGGGGGTCACCTGGGAGGAGGAGCAGGACAGGTTGGAGGAAAAGGAAAAGGAGGAGGAGGAGGAGGAGGAGGAGGGAAAGGAGGTGGTATGAGGAGGAGGAGGAGGAGGAGGAGGAGGAGGAGGAGGAGGAGGAGGAGGAGGAGGAGGAAGAGGAGGAGGGGGTCTCCTGGGAGGTCCCGCCTTCAGGGTCGGCGGCACAGGCCGTAAGGACTTCACAGTCTCTGTGGACCTCCCGAGGCCCCCCCCCCTGGCCAGTGCCTCGAGCTGCGTCCGGCCGTGGTAACCAGGAGGGCGCCCCCTGGAGTTAGGTCGGGCGTGGACTTCTGAATGTTTTTGAATATACCTCTGTATGTTTGACTCTTTCGAATAGTTCTGAACTCTTTTTAAGGACTATTTTTGAATTTCCTCCTAGAGACCATGTTGTAACTATTGTTGAATATTCCTCCTGTAGAGGGACAGGCCCGATTTAACCCTGGAGGCTCCCCCCCAAACATGGTCCAAGGCATTTGACGCGCGTGCCCCCCCCCCCAAAAAAAAAACACCGTTCCTTGATCTCCGATGTGCCGCCCCCCTCGCAGCACCTCACGAGACGATGGGGCCCCGAGGCAGAGGGGCTCTGGGGCGAGGAGGCCCTGCACAGGCCCACATTTAGGGGAACAAACATTGCCAGAAACATGAAAACTCGGAGGTCCGCGCGGACTTCTCGGATAAAACATGTGTACAATGCCTAACCGAAGATCTTGTCCAAATCCGACAGCGACCGCTGTTGGGCAGGCGACTTGTGGTCTCAAGCGGACAACGTCGGCGGCGAAATCGACAGCGATTCGTGTCCGAACTGTGTTGGAACTGCTGTCGGTCTTCTAAGCAACGACGCTGTGTACGTAATCTTGAGCTTTCGGAGCCCCGCAGAGATTTCTTGGATCGGCGCTGGTCCCATAGCGGCGCTTCTGGCGCTGCCCCTGGCGCGCTCCGTGCGCCTAGCGGGGGGGTCCAACGCTAATCCAAGAAATTCGCGCGGAGCTACGACAATTCATGCTTATGGCATTTTTACTTCTTGGCCTTCGCCCCTAGTCTCCTCGTGCCCATTTCGATCGTACCGCAATCTCCTCTGCGCGCCGATGGCCTCAGCCCGAGAAGGAGGAAGCGGAAAAGGGGGAGGGACGGAGGGAGGGAGGGGAGGGGAGCAGAGGGGAGGGGGAGGAGGAGGAGGAGGAGGAGGAGGAAGAAGAGGATCATGATGATGATGAGGAGGTGGAGAAGGAGCCGGAGGAGGAGGAGGAGGAGGAGGAGGAGGAGGAGGAGGAGGACAGGTAGGAGGAGGAAGAGGCGGATGAGGAGGAGGAGGAGGAGGAGGAGGACGAGGAGGAGGAGGAGGAGGTGGAGGATGAGGAGGTGGAGTAGGAAGAGGACGAGGAGGAGGACGAGGAGGAGGACCAGTGTAAACCCAAGAGTCATCAACGATGTTGGAGTAAACCCTCCCTCCAAGCTCCCTCTTCATAGGCCCCTACATGGGTTCATCTCCATTGATGGAACTGCCTCGTTGGAAGACATCCGTTTGAAGACCCTGAAGCATGCCAAAACATTGTTCTCGGGATTCCAACGCCGCGGATCAACCAAACTGTTGCGTCTTGACGATCCTGAACCGTGCCACAACGCCGTCTCTAGGACTTCAACACAGAGAACCAACGTAAGAGTTGCACCCGCATGCTCCTGAATCGTTCTAACACAACATTCCTGGTACGTTGATGATACGAATCCGTGAAACTCTTTGCATTTGTTTAAACGAGTGCGCGCGGCGCTAAGGAAAGAACGACATTTTGAAAAGGAACCGCCCTCAATCCGCGAATCGCTTGAAATAGTTTTAAAACAAATGCGCGCCGCGCTAAAGCGAGAACCGTATTTTTTTAAACCACTCGCCCTCAATCTGTGAAATTCTGGTATTCTCTTTGAACATGACTGTGCGGCGCGCTGAAACACAAAACCACATTTTGAAAACCACCCGCCCTCAATCTGTGAAGCTGTAAACTTTTAAAACAAATGCGCGCCGCGCTAAAGCGAAAACCACATTTTGAAAACGACCCGTGCTCAATCCGTGAAACTCTTGCAACTGTTGAAAAAACGAATGTGCGCCGTGCTAAGGCGACGGCCACATTTCGAAAACGACCCGCCCTCCATCTGTGAAACTGTTGCCAAATTTGAATCTTCAGAGTCATACGTAAATGGTGAGGAAGTCCCAGGCGAAACGCCCAGCCCGCCCTAAAATCTGGCCTCGGCGTGCGACAGACAAATATTCATACTGAAAGAGAAAAGGAATGGAGGAGGAGGAGGAGGAGGAGGAGGAGGAGGAGGAGGAGGAGGAGGAGGAGGAAGAGGAGGAGGAGGAGGAGGACGGGGAGGAGGACGCGGTAAACCCCCAAACCTTTACGCGCCGCTGGCCTCAACTGCCGCCCCGCCGCGCCGACGACCGTGCTGCCAGCGGCGGCCGCCCGTTGGCGAACCGCGCCCGCGCACGCTGGCAGGGAGGCGCTGGCCAGCATCAGCGCCGCGCGCGCCGGCCGCCCGCGGCCGGGCCGCCGCGGCGGTGGCGCCATGGGGCGGCTCGGTGACCTGGCGCGAACAGAAACGCCAGGCGGCCGTTCTCGGGGGCGTCCAAGAGGAGGGCGTCCAAGAGGGGCGGGGCGCAAACCATGGCGGGCGGCACGTGCGCGGTCCAGGGGAGGGCCAGAAATGGATTGAAATAAGAAGAGGCACAATCAAATCTGGGGAGATATCGTGGCCCCCGCCATGATATTTCCCCCCTTAGTCATCACTCCCCTCTTTGTCGCCCCCGACCTCCGCTTGATGCGCGCCCGCGCGCGCCCGCCGGGCCGAAGGGCCTCCAACGGGGAATCGGCCTCACCGGAAGGGCCCGGAGCGGCCGGCGGCGGCCGCGGCCGCGCGCAGAGGTTCGCGGCGGCGGCGGCGGCCAGCGCTGGGCGGATGTGCTTCAGTGCGGCGGCGCGCTCGGGCGCATGGCGCCCGCGCGGCCGCCCTGGCAGGGGCGAGGAGGGGGTGAACGCTGGGGGGCGGATGAACTCACAAGGGTGGACGTCGACCTGGAATCGGACATGCGTCGCCGACTAATCGGCGACAAGCCCCCGATAGCGAACCCGCACGCAACAGGGCATACCCTGTTGCGTGCGGACTCGCAGGGGGTGGGGCATCGGGCCCCTACAATAAGCACATACGATGAGACATATCGTTACAGCAAACCTTGGGGTGCAATCAGGGTTCACGTGCCCACGAACTCTGTGGACCATTGGGACGATCCGGGGATAACGAACTCTTGCGGGGCACCTCCTGGTAGGCCGATTTCTTGTTTGACGCGCCCACAGTATCGGCGATGAATGGGCGATTGGGGGTCGATGCATCTTCCCATGAGCCAGCAATGCTGCTCGTCGTCTTGTTTGCACATCACAACTGGGCTTTCCAGCGGCTGTTCGGGGCGATCCGGACACCTCCGGATACTCCCTGCGAGGCGCAGCTGCTGGATAGCATCCCGATGCTGGAAAACCGTAGAGAACCGACGTAAACTTCAGAAGACCTCGTCCGAAGAGGCTTGGTGCCCTCCGCGAAAAAGGACTCCTCCCTCCCCTCCACCTCGCGCGGCCTTCGACGACACCCCGTTCCAAACGAACCTCTATGGATCCCCAGCGGGGTTCCCCCCTGGCCAGTTTCTCGAGCTGCGTCTGGCCGTGGTGACCAGGAGGGCGCCCCTGGAGGCCCCCACCCCCCAACGCAGAGAACCGACGCAAACTTCCAATGTCCTCGAATCTCGAACGTCGAGCGGTACCCCCGGAGCCTATCCCCCCCAGCGTTGCCCACGAGAGAAGGATGGGGACGCCCGCGCCCCCCCCTCTGGCGGGCGGGCGGGCCCCCCTCCTTTTCGATCGAGCCGCGCGGCGGGCGCCGTCGATGATGGAGGGGAGGGGACAGGGAGAGGGGGCGTCCTATTCCCTCCTTCCTCTCCTCCTCCCTCCTCTTTTCTCCTCCCTCCTCCCCCCTCGTCCAGCCGCGACAGCTCGAGGCGTGTCGATTTGGGTGCTGCAGCAGTTGCCTGCGACGGCCGCTAGAGCGCGCGCGGCTACGGGCGGCGCGGCCGTCCGCGCCCACGATCCCGCCTGGCATCGGCGCCAGCGGCGGCAGCGAGCCTGGGCTCGCACGCTGCTGCGGCTGGGCGCCGCCGCGGGCCTGCTGGCTAGTCACCACAGCAGCCAGCAGCCCGCCGCCATGGCCAAGGGCGACAAGAAAGCAAGGTCATCGTCGGCCCCGCGGCAGGGGGACGGATCGACATCGTGGACCTGCAAGGGCTGCGCAACCCCGAATTTCTCTAGTCGCACCACTTGCCGAAGTTCCGGGAAAAAGAAGAGGACGTTGCCGCCGTGGAAGGCAGACGGCGGCACCCCGCGGCGCGCCGCTCGTGCTCGCGGACCAGGCGGCCCGCCAACGTGTCGCTGCCCATGAGGTGCGCTGGAAGGCGACTGTGGTAGTAGCGCGCGAAACTCGCCGTCTTCTTCTCGCGCACCTCTGGGTCGATCGGGTCGTCCCAGTCGCCGCTCTTGCCCCTGCGGATGAGGTCGAGCTCGCCCGCGACGAAGACCTCTGCTTCCTGCCAGGCTGCCTTGACAGACTGGCGCAACGGCCGGTCGGTCCCATCCAATCCCTCCGGGACGCAAATGCCCGCGACGGGGTCGGCCTTGGAACCCCAGTCAACATGCCCTTATCGCGCAAGTACTGTGTGACTCTCGGGTCCACCGCATACTTGTGGAGCAGCTTCGACAAGCGCACGGCGAGCTGTGTTGCCATTTTGGCAGCTTGGTTACCAAGTTGGGTTCGTGGGAAATCGCCAGCGCCGCAATGGCCCGATGCTTGAGCCGAGATGGCTACAGACAGCCAGGGTCCAGCCAATGCAAGAGGAGGGCCGCTAACGGCACCCAGCCTGCGCCACTATGGTTTCTGTCGTGGCGTCTAGCCAGCCCTCCTGCACTCACACAACTGATAAAGGAGGATTGTCTTCAACCCAGAACGCCCTGCCGATACTCGGACCACCAGGTCAACTTCAGCACCACGGATCAAGATGATGGATGATAATATCCTGCAACTCACAGCGCCCTCATGTGAATCTCCAGATCCGCCACGGATTACGATGCCCCCCGCCTGCACGCCTCTCCACTGCCGCAGAATAACACTATGCGTTATCAACCCTGTCTCCACTCACCCAACCTGGATGGATGGCCTTAGGGATCTAGGGTCCCGCTGGCAGGGGAAAGCAGGAGCAGGTGCAAGGTGAGGGCCGATGCCAGAACCCAATCTGCGCCAAAATGGTTTCTGTCGCGGCGTCTCGCCACCCCTCCTGCACTCGCAAAGGTGATGGAGGAGGACGGCCTTCAACCCAGAACGCCCAGCAGAGGGAGCGGGAGAGAGAAAGAGAGAGAACAGAGAGAGAAAGAGGGATAGGAAAATCAATAATACGAAAGACTGGGGGGGGGATCACGGCACGGAAGGATGCTTACCGCACACATGTGGACTTAGGGAATTTGGTAAGAAGTATGGATGCCACCGCCCCTGACCACCATGAGAATCCTGACAAACCTCTAACCCGCATCAGAGCGGCATCGGAGAAGCATGCCAGAAGCCTCTGAATGGCTCCTTACAGGCACCCGATGGATTCTGAGAGGCAGTTTGAATGGCTTCAGACAGGCATCTGATGGCTTCTGGCAGGTCTCTGGGACGCGTCTCAGAGACATGTCCGAGGAGTCAGTCTCTTACGCTGATGAGAGGCCCACAAGGAAGCCTCTGTGAAGATGCGTGGTTTTAAAGGGCCTCTGATAAGCCTCCGACGGGCCCCTGAGAGGCTTCTTGGAGGCCTTCCCAGGGCCTCTGTCTGAGAGGCCCATCCGAAGTCCCTGAGAGCCTTTCGAGATGCCCTTGACAGGCTTATGAGGAGCCTCTGATAGTCTCATGAGAGGCCTCTGTCTTCCTCCTCCTCCTCCTCCTCCGCGACTGAGCATGCCATTTGGTGCCATGTAAGGCCCAGGGCGGATTGCTTGTGTATTGCTCTCAAATTTTAAGCCAAGACTGAATGGTTCCATGATGTCGCAGAAAAACACTTCTAGGCTAAACCACTCGCCCGGACAGAACGCATCGATTTCAATGCATAAGCGGATTAGGCACTCCACATTTCAACCGTCATGACCCTGGGCCTCCCAGAGGCGTCTGATGGGCCTCTGCTGAGCCCCGTGCTTCCTTTTAGGATTCCCAAGGGCCCTCAAAATGATCCAAGGACTCTCAGGATGCTGCACCATTCCCTGGGGGCCCTAAAAATGTTCACCACCCTTCAGAATTCTACACGATTCCTAAGGCTTCCGCTAAAGTGCCCGACGAAGACGACGATGACGACAAGAAGGAGCCCGGGTGGCCAGCGCTGCAGCAAGAGGAGGCAACAGAGCGCGGGCGGAATGGCAACTACTTCGTCCCGAGATAGGCTCGAGGCGTCTCAAGGTACAGGACAGGTCACGAGGCCTGGCCGATTCGGGCAGGGCTCGGGTGGCCAGCAGCTGGGAGGGGAGCGCGCCAGCCGTGTATACACCCGCACACCGTCGGCCGCACGCAGGAGTGGCCCCAGGCGAGGAGTAGTGCCCTCTGGTGCGCGGCTTGCCGGTCGCTACAAGGTGTGCTTCAATGGCGGCCTGAGATCCGACGTCGCGAAAAAAAAAAAACACCATCGTGAATCAAGAGCGCAGCCCCAAACCCCATCTGAAGGGGCCCCAGGACACACACATAAATGCACACAAATAAAATGATTCCCCATATTTTCCCACATTTCTTGAGTTTTTGTCCTCCCCCCACTTCCCATATTTTCCCATATTTTCCTGGGAGTGAACGATTAATTGTGTCTATGTGTTTTTTCCCCTCCTGACCATCTGCTGCATTTTTTAGCGCCAGATCGATCCGCGGTGGCCCCAAGGGCCTGCCCGCCCGTCCTGCTGGCCCCGGCCTCCCGCCTGCGCGCTCGGCGTCGTCTGCCTGCTCCTCCCCTCCGCTCCTCCCTTCGCCAGGCACGACAGCCTGCCTGGGAGCAGCGTGGCGGCGAGTAGTTCGAGCAACCTGGAGGGTCCGTCTGGAGCCGCAGCGCTGCCAGGATCGTTCACGATAGTTGACAGCAGGCGGGCACAGCTTTCCGGGTGCAGCTGTCGTCGATCGGATTCCCGACGCCCGGAGTGCAAGCAAAATGCGACGCCCAGATCTCAGGGGAGGCACCCGTGCTCAGCTTGGGCCTGGAGCCCGGGCACTCGAGGTCGTCTCCTGGCGAGAGGGCCTCCCTTCCCTGCGCTCGGGGATCTCCTGACCCGGGTCAATCCAGACCCGGGTCAGCAGGAAACCCAAAAACTGCAAGGCAGGAAACTATAACTCCAGCGCCAGTCCTTGCAAACCCAGGTCAGCCCATAGGAGGCGCGGCCGCCTCGCGGCCCGGGAGCGGCTCGCCGACCCGGTCAGCCAGAGGGGGTCTTTGCAGGATCCTGCAGGATCCGGTGCCCTTCGGGGATGGACAGAACCCCCTTTAGCACAACGTGGTTTAGTGAAAACGACCTGAGGCCCAAACCTGGCGGGCGCGAGCCTGGAAAATAAAGGCCACGGCGCCCTCTCGAGAACCGAAAAAGGACAATTCACTAATCGACGTGTCACTGTTGGGGGTTCTGTCCACCCCCGAGCCCTGGCTGACCCCCGTTCGCATGGACCCCCGCCCCTCGAGCCCCGATGCGCGCAGCTGCTGCGGACCCCGGCCCGGCGCATCCCTGCCCGACCCCGGCGGCGTCCATGGGCCCACGGGCACGGGCCCCGAGAGCGGCCCGAGCGCCCGAGCCCTCCTCGCGCACGACACGGCCCCTGTGCCGCCGTCTCGACTGCCCGTCGGTCGGAGGAAGTAGGTGGAGACATGAAGCAGGAAAGCGTTGAAAGTATGTCGGGTGTTTTCGCCCGCCCCTGGGAGGACGGACAAGGGAAGCCGCTCGATCATTG